CTGCAGCTGGACTGGGAGTCAATGGTCTTTCCAGTTCCCGAGCAAATGCTGGTGTGCGGCCGCCCAAACCCTATCTGGTGTCAGGGAGCGTTGGTCAGCTTCACCGATGCACTCCATCACCGGGGAGGACTACACCTCGGGTGCTCGGGGCTGCCGGGGGGCTGCAGGTCAGGAAGGCCAAGGCGGAGATGGGACTGGGACTAGCGACCCGGATCAAGGACAACAAGAAGTCCTTTTTTAAATGCATAGGGGGTAAAAAGAAGGTACCGGGTAACGTGGGGCCTCTATAGGGCACACTAGGAAATCTGGCCGTCGCACCAGACGGTAAGGCTAACCTCTTCAACAATTTCTGTGCCTCCATTTTTCTAAACAGGGACCGGGTCATGCCCCCCACTGGGATCCCCGATGGTCCCAGGGGAGGCGCACCCAGACCTAGGGTCAGCGAGGATCTAGTCAGGGAACTTCTGGCGGAACTGGATGTATTTAAATCAGCTGGTCCTGACGACCTCCACCCCTGAGTGCTGAAGGAATTGGCAGAGGTCATTGTGGGACCCCTGGCACGGCTGTATGAGCACTGGTGGTGCTCTGGCAAGGTGCCGGAGGACTGGAAAAGGGCAATGTGGTTCCCATCTTCAAAAAAGGGAGGAGGGAGGACCCAGGGAACTCTAGGCCCGTTAGTCTGACCTCAGTCCTGGGAAAGCTCTTTAAGAAAATTATCCAGGGGCACATCTGTCGGGGGGCGGCAGGGGAGATTATACTTAGGGGCAACCAGCCCGGGTTCATTCGAGGCAGGTCCTGTCAGACCAACCTGATGCCTTCTATGACCAGGTACCAAATCCTTGGATGCAGGTGTCACAGTGGACGTAGTCTTTCTGGACTTTCTGGACTTCGACACCGGCGTCGACACCTACACGGTCAAATGGGTCACCAATTGGCTGGAGGGCCCCCCCCAGAGAGTGGTGGTGGACGGGTCATTTTCGACCTGGAGGGATGTGGGCAGTGGGTTTCCCCAGGGCTCGGTCACCGGGCCCGCACTGTTCAACATCTTTATCAGCGACTTGGACAAGGGGGTAAAAAGCACCCTGTTCAAATTTGTGGATGACACTAAGATGTGGGGAGAAGTGGGCACGCTAGAAGGGAAGAATGGGCTGCAATCGGACCTAGACAGGTTACGGGGGTGGGCGGATGAGAACAGGATGGGTTTCAACACGGACAAGTGCAAGGTGCTGCACCTGGGGAGGAAGAGCCAGCAGCACACCTACAGGCTGGGAACTCCCTTCTCGTCAGTGCAGAGGCAGAGAAGGATCTTGGAGTCATCATTGATGCCAAAATGAACATGGGCCGACAGTGTGGGGACGCGGTCAGGAAGGCCAACCGCACCTTGTCGTGCATCCACAGATGCATCTCGAGCAGGTCCAAGGAGGTGATCCTCCCCCTCTACGCGACACTGGTCAGGCCGCAGCTGGAGTACTGCGTCCAGGTCTGGGCACCGCACTTCAGGAGGGATGTGGACAGCACGGAGAGGGTCCAGAGGAGGCCACACGCATGGTTGGGGGCAGCAGGGCAGGCCCTACGAGGAGAGGCGACGGGACCTGAACCTGTTCAGCCTCCACAAGGGAAGGCTGAGCAGGAATCTGGTGGCTGTTTATAAACTGGCCAAGGGGGTCCAGCAAGCACTGGGGGAGTCCCTGTTCCCCCGCGCACTGCCAGGAGTGACTAGAAATACCGGTCACAAGCTGGCAGAGGGTAGATTCAGACTAGACATCAGGAGACGCGACTTCACAGTCAGGGCAGCTAGGATCTGGAACCAACTTCCAAGGGAAGTGGTGCTGGCTCCTACCCTGGGGGTCTTCAAAAGGAGGCTGGATAGACACCTTGCCGGGGTCATTTGACCCCAGCTTTCTTTCCTGCCCATGGCAGGGGGTCAGACTTGATGATCTGCTCAGGTCCCTTCCAACCCTACCAACGATGAAACTATGAAACTCGTTGGTGTCAGCCGATTTGCCCAGTAATCCTACTCCAAAATCAGCTCCTGGCTTGATGCCATACACACAGCACACAGGCCGGGGGCTAGCAGTTGGCACCAGGTCCCCTGAAAACTGAGCTGGCAGCAGACACAACTGTGGGCCCCCCTGGAGCGGAGCAGGCAGCCCTGGTACCACGGCCCCTGGGTGGGCGGGCGGCAAGGGCAGGTCACGGTGGGGTGGTCACTGGGGGCATGAACCCCCTCCTTCCAAGCTGCTGGAGGTGCTGGCATGACTTCTTCAGCCCCTACCTGCAGGCTCAGGGACTGTCACTGGTTTCCTCAAGCTGAGACCATGTGGCTGCCCTGCCCTGCCCACCCCGGCCCTGGGACCAGCTCTCATGCGAGGGCATGAGGAAGGGGGAAGAGTGCCCGGCTATCCCAGCTGCCTGCAGTGGGTTTGTTCAGGATTGAGAGAGTGGTTGGGGTGAAAAGGTAAGAAAGATTTATTGATCTAACAAACACGTAAAGCCGGTTTAGCTGTCACAGGATGCCTCAGCAAGCACTCTTTTAAGCAGACACTATTTTGCTGTCAAGAGACATGACCAAGTCACTGCTACATTCTACCTTTGCTTGTTGAAGCATCCTGGGACATTTATAGCTGAGATGCTAAAGCTACATAAACTTCGATAGGAAATGGGGAGGGATCTTTGAGTTTAACTTGCGTAGCCTGGGCAGATTTGTGACAACTGTTAAAACACTATTTAGCTACTGCTACTGAGGCAATGTAGAGTGCTATAACACTTAAGGTGGTCAGCCATGTGGTTGATGTGATATACGGTGACATTTGAACAGCACAAATTGCATCGTACTATTTACATGGCTCGGTCTCACTGACAGCTAAACTGATGATTCATTTTTTCACCCTCCCGAGCAAGCAGGGCTAATTGAGTGCCTTGCTGAGCTCGTGCTTCAAGGCTTTGCAGCTTATCTTTTACTTCATTTTAGTTTTCTAATCGTGGCATGTCTACATTTGTTACCCATTACATGGGTATTGTAAAGTTGAGGATTATGGTTTTAGAAGAGATTTCTGGCTATTTTAGGGCAATAGGACGGTTATTTAGTTGCAGCAGAGCAACAGCTCTACTCTTAGCTCTTAAGCAACACAAACTACACGAGGTCCAGATGGTACCGTTGTCATACAGTAAGCGACCTGGTTTTTCTCAGCAAACACGCTGCTTTATTGTGACATATGCTGCATTAGGTAGTTCATGTACACAGGTCATATTGAGCGGACTAACAGGTTATTTTTTTATAGGGTTTTTAATTGAATTAAGATGTTACTGATTTGAACTCGGGGGATTGTGTTACATACCGAGGGCTATCGGGGTGACTATCTCCCATATGGGGCGATGCAGATTCTAGTTTTAAAGGCATCTTTTTCTTAGCCTTGTGCTAAGCAAATAAGCAGTGATCTAACTTTTATTTTTTACGTCATTCACTAGGAATAAATACTTCTCTTTAATACAACTTTTTTAAGTGGTAATCTAGGTGCTTTGATAGGGGTATTTCTTTTTAAATGTTGCGGGCCTTTCGCGATGTTCTAAGCTAGGGGGCTATTTTTTGTTTTTAACGCTGTTTATTACTCGGGGAAATGCATGTTTAATGATAACTGAACTTGTGCACAGGCAGCACTTCAAGTTTGATTTGTGTTGGCTTTAAAAGCAGTGTCCATCATGGCCTGGGCAAGACGGGCTGTTTCTAATTTTATATTTGTTATTAATTCGTCAGTACGCTCTGAGGTTTTCCCCTCAAGCATGCCTCCCCTGCTGAGCAGCCCTACTGCTTGTCGGAGGCTGCTTACTTCTTCAGCAATTTTGGGGGATTTGTCTAAGTTTCATACATTTATAGCTGACTTAAGTTTATTTTAAAGATAACCCGGAGTCTCTCTTCGTTTGCGGGACCTAACTGTCTTTGTGGAACGGCAGATGGTTGGCTATTCTCACTTGAGTAACTCCTCAGTTGCACGGGCTCCCGCTGAACAGCTTGGAAAGGCAGCTCAGACTTCCCGTTGAATAATGCTGGTCTGAATAATACTCGGGCAGTGAACAATGAAGCCTTTAGGAGGGTCGGGGCTTTAACCTGTGACTGTCCAGGGCGTGGTGTTATACATGGGCAGTGTCGGGGCTCTCGCGGGGGAACAGCCGACGACAACAGTGATATAATACCGGGTTGGTAAAATGACATTGTCTTGGCAAAATCATAGCACTAATTTGCTTTAGAAATCTTACTGGTATAAAAGGATGGGAATAATTGGGGGAAAGTTGCGGATACAGCTACGGCAAAATGCATTAACAAAATACAGGAAATGCTGAACCACAACGGCTTTGTTTTACTCTCTTTCTTCTAGCTATAAGCATTCCTCAGCACATAGATAAGCAGCAGAAAACCAGGTTTAGTCCTCAGAAAGCTGGTTTAGCTGTCACAGGATGCCTCAGCAAGCGCTCTATTAAGCAGACACTATTTTGCTGTCAAGAGACATGACCAAGTCACTGCTACACCCGGCCCCTGCCCAGACCGGTGCCTGGAGCCCTGGAGGGGGTAGCTTGGGCTGTGGCTGGGACTGCTGGAAATGGGGCGACACCAGGGACCCCCGAGGCTGGGAGCCTTATGCGGTGGAAGTTGGGGGCTGCCCTGCCCCTCCCTGACTGCCCCGTCGTCCCCTCTGCAGGTGCCTGGAGGCAGGATGTGGCTGCAGGTGCTGATGGGAGCAGCGCTGGCGCTGAGCGCCCTGGCCGCCCCAGGGCAGAGCCCGCCCGGTGCCGCCGTCTTCGCCGACCTGAGCCCCGCGGAGCTGCGCGCC